GAAAGGTCTCACAGAGTAATGTAATGGATTCCACACTATTTGATAATCCAAAAGGTACTGTATCTCTCACTTAGTTTCCGTATCGAAGTAAAAGTTAGAGGAATAGCAGTGTTATTAGAAAAGTTCTAGGGACGATGATTGTGCTAGTATTATATTTTTATTACTCTTCTGAAATTAGTAGATGAAGAAACGGTGGTTTTTCCTGTATGCTATTTGATCGAGTCCAAATCAGACTTAATATTGTCCAGGCAGTGAGTGGCCTCACAAACTGGCAAATTTTGCGCCTTTAGTCTGGAACTCTAATGAATATGAGTAGATATAATGCTAATAATTCTAACGGTTTCATTAAATTTTTTTTTTTTTAAATTTGTCACAATAATTTAACAATTACTCAAATCGTTATTATTATTAATTATTTTTTAAACAATATCAATTGTGCCACAAGGAGATGAATAAAAAATTGACTTGTAACACACAAAACCGTGCACTCGCTGGCCATGACGGAGCCATTTATGACCAAACAAATTTTGAAAATTAAAAAAAAAAAATACAAAGAAAAAACTGAGAGATTAAATGAAAAGTACTTAACGTGTACACACGTACATATATTTACCGCGAAAATTGAAAGCAAAATACAATAAATGAAAAAATCAATAAAAGCCTTTGGAAACCCCACAAGAGCCACAACTGCAAGCCATACATACATACATACGTGTACATACATATTGTACATACAGATATACATACACGTATGAGCCGTGAACTGCAGCAACAACAGCGACTCAAATAAAGTGCAAGTGCAAGTGCTCTTGGCTCAGCCATAATAATTGTATTTAAAGCAATGGCAAATAACAAACAACATACACACATAGATACATATCTACAGCGTTTAACTTGCAATTGACCAAACATTAACGGTAGCTAATTTCATTTGAAGAATGCCATCTTCACTATAAGTGAAAGAAGTTAACACATAACACTTGTCGCCACCGTAAAGGGAGCGGCAGGTAGCGGTGGCGGTTGCCGCGTTGTTGTTGTTGGTTGTAAACGCAGCAGGCCAACATACATACATATATACATACATACATACATACATAGAAACACACAAGCACACTTAAGTACATTTTCTGCATTGCACTTAGGAGACATTAGTATTGCGACCAATGTTGAAGTGGTTGGCCACCTATGGTCCACCGTTCACCAACCATCGTCCATCGTCCAACTTCCATCAATATCTATCGCTTAAAAGCTATATATTTGCACTTGATTGTTGTTATTATTGCTAATATTAATGGTGTTTAGTGTGACTGCTGTTTCTCTGCTGATGCTGCTGCTGCTGCTGCTGCTACTGTTCAACAGCGTTGAGATCTTCACAATAAAAGCAACAGCAACAGCAACAACAACAACGAAATGCATATAAATTCTCGCTAAATGTTGAGTGGCGTGCTTTTGATTTGCTGCTCAGCTTAGTTGGTGGTAAACACATCTCTCTAACTGTCTGTTTGTCCATCTGTCTGCACGTCAGTGCGTCAAGCGCAGTGCAGTTTGTCTATTTGCTGATTTGCCTCTCTACGTCGTCGTCAAAGTCATCTTCTTCTTAACCGTCGACGACTAAGTGAAACTAATGTTAATCACATTGACAATGGTATGCCAAATCGAACGGAGTGACAATCATTCGGACGGGCGTACGATTAGATATTTGTTTGGACATTAGATTAGATGAGGTGTGATGAAAAGTGATTTTTTTCGTTGCTTAGCATTTTTGAAATGAATTTTAGTTTAACTTTTTTTTTTTTTATCACTTTAATTTAATTTAATTTCAAATTTAATGCCAGTAAAATTAAATTTGAATGCCAGTAAATTTGCATTGAGAAATTGTGCTGTTGCTGATACTGTCATAGAAACCCTTATCCCTATTGGCAAATTTTCACAGTCTGTTCTTGAGAAGAACTTTATATTTATTATCATTGCCATATACAGGAACCGATGGAAGTCACCTGGTGTGAGGTTCGGACTATCAGGTGAATGCATAAGAACACATCAGCCGAGCTCTCCAAGCATCTGGCGAGTCACTATCGCTGTCTGGGAATTGGTCGTCAATCGTAGCTCTTTCTAACGACATCTGTCCTGATTCTATCGTACTTGTAGGCCACTGAACAACGTTGTTACTCTTATTTCGGACAAAACTGAACACCGATTTTATTATGTTCTAAAACTGACATTACAATCAATGATTTTCGTGAAGATAGTTCCGTAAATAGTCTTTCGTGTGAAAAGTTATTTTGATTTGAAAATAAGTGAAATTTCTGGAGAAACACGTTTGTTGATGATGTTTACCAAAAAATGGAAAAAATTTTGTTGAGATGTTTGGACGTACCTACCATTTAGCCTGGATCTAGCACCATTTGACTACCATTTGCTGCGGAGTTACTAAACTCTTTTGATCATAAAAAATTGGCCGATCGAACAGTCGCTGACCAAGTTGTTCGCTGTTCAGCTACGGATATTCTAAACTGATATAAAATTATGGAGTTATCTGAAGAGTGGCAAAAAGAAATGAATGGCTGAAGCCAACCTAATATCTAGTTGTCCAAGAGGAGCCACCAAATATATTCCTATCTCTTTTTTTTTGAGAAATATGGATAGGCAAGCAATCTAGCTACCGAGCTTTAAATGAGAAGTTGAGAGAAAATCATTTTACGAAATCGAGAGAGAAAAAAATATGCTCTTCTTAAATTTACAGGATTATGAAGGTAGTTTCATCATCAGCTTCAATGCCAACAATTATTTACATGCGTCTGAAAGTCTATGGAGAACAGTCAATGGAATGCTTTCGTTTGAAAACTTTCACTCGTCCTTCGCAGAGTTCGGGTAGTGAGAATGCTCACACTGATTCTATTAATATGCTCGGCGATGAACTTAATATCGTTTAGAAAAAGTTTTTTTTTTTAAGTTTGTGATAGCTAACTCTGCTTTAGTCACTTTGTGCAACCCTTTTTATTCACTTAAAATTATATACATCGAACCGTAGAGTATTTCTAACTCTCCATTAAATCTACCAACCATTCTACACGACTAAAAGTCCTTCCATTTGCTGCCAAACCAGTAAGACGCACATCCTAATCGATCGAAAATTGCTTCGCATTGCGAAGATTGAGATTAGTTGTGGTCCTCATCGAACCAGAAATGGTCGATATTTTTGGTTTGAATGAAGTGAGTTTGTGCATTAGAAGACTCTAAAATTTAACGTCTGCATAGTCTAAAGTCAACTTTATGGCAACAGATGACTTATTAGTATTCAGAATCAGCCATTTAAAATGAGTTAAGTTAATGGGACTAACGATCCTGCTCCATATCCTCCACCTGTAGGCGCATTGCGAAATCGATTTAGGGTTCTTGTGATCTGCTCAAATGTGCGAACCGTTTGTGTTACGGCTGTGTTACCTGCAATTTTGCCTATACCAGCTGCAGTTACCTCTGCGAGGTGGTTTTCTGGGCTAGACCGTGACATAGTTAGTGTTCGAAAGATTCTTAATTTTTCTCCTCTCCGTAGCTGTGACAAAAATCATTAAAGCAATATGTCATACTCTTGCGCAAAGCCCCTTTATATATATAATTGGCGCTTTGTAACCGCTGATGCGATTACCGGCCGAGCTCCTCCTCCAACTTGTGGTTTTTCGTCTTGATGTTTTTCCAACAAATGGAGGGACTTACAGTAAAATACTAAGCCGCCTCCGAACGGCTGATGTTTTTTTTACGAGGAGCTTTATTTCATGTCAGAAATACACTCGGAGGGATGGACATACCCTGCCTAGTGGCGACCTCTATTAGAAAATCCAACTTATCTTTTTATTTAAATTATTATTCTATAACTTTTGGAAGTTGCTGTGTCAATGCTAGCCACCCAGCTATCGCGACTACATTACAGAGTGTGTCCTTATTATACGTGTTGTTACAATGCTGGGTAACGTTAATCTTTCAGCGTCGAACATCTAGTCTAGTCATGTGGCACGTGGTTTCTATAAGCTCTCTGCTGTGATGATATAACAAAGGCTAGTTTTAGGTTGTACTTTTAATGACTTGGAGTAGTTCCACCTATTGTTAACTCGACCGCCGGGCAATTGCCTAGGATGTTCCTAAGAGCGCACACCAAGCTCACAGTTGGTTTAAATTTCTTCGAGAGTTTATTTAGTTTACTTTATCATGACAGACTGGCTGCCAGCGCAAATAGTATCTGATTGGCTTGTGACGCTTGTGACCATTCTCCTGCCTCCTTGTTTGCAATGGTGAATGATACAAAGCGTTTATAGGTATCTATTTTCCCAGCCAGCGCAGCAACATTTGGTGGTGATGTAGTTGGACTCTAATGGGAATCGTGCAGAAGGCAATATTATAGTATATTGCTAATACTGAGACCTAGCTGGACAAGTCGGGGTTAGGAGTTTTCGAGAGATAATTTTTGCATAAAATTAAGATTCCTCAATGCGATAGGAACGATACATATCGCAGAGTCGATTGAACGATGAGGTGTAGGAGCTATAAGGCGACATTGACATAGTTCAGCGCCTTAAGAGACAGCGGTGTGGTCTTCGATGTGATATGTGGAGAGACCAGGTGGCGAAGGACCTGGCGGTAGGTGATATTTCCAAACAACCAAATGAAGGAAAGAATGCCGCATTGCTGTTAACTCGGTTGTAATGGCGTAAGCGGTTTTTACGCCAGTAAAGAAGAAGAATACCCACACAACACTGAGCAGATGAGTGAGGAAAATTTTTAACAAAAAAAAAAAAAAAAACGTAAATATATATAAAGTAAAAATTGTTTGAAATTTACAATCGTTAGTTGGCTATAAACAGAAGCAGAAGGTTGCGGACCTGACCGCGGTCCGCCACCTTTAAGTCATTTGAGTGTAATTAAACGATTTTTTTTTTGTTTCTCCTCGAGTAAGTTTATAAATATTTAAAGTACTGGCAGTTATGAAGCCACTTAAGAGCACTCACCATAAACTATTTTAGTATCCAAATAATTTCTCTACGCCAATAATTTTATTGTCCTGCTTCGGAAAGCACGTTAAGCGCGTTTGCAGACACTAAAAATTGAAATTTTTATATGTATATATTTATTTATTTATTTTTTTGTTAATTTTTATTTATTTTAATTTTATTTTTAATATTTTTAAATAACTCAATTTTGTTTTGACTATTAGCGGCACTGGTATAAAAAAAAATATTTTTTTTTTATTATTTTATATGTGCAAATTTTCACACTTCATTAGGCACACCCATACATACATATGTCCATTTATGTAAATTTAATAGATCCTTTTTGCTTTAAACGCGCCGCAGCCTGTCTGCAAATTTTATTTTTATTTTTTTTATTATTTTTGTTATTATTATTTTTTTTTTAATTTTAATTTTATTTGTTTATTGATTTCTTTATTGTGTTTGCACAATGCACATTGCTTTATACGTATATTATTGCAAGCGTTTAATACAACAAAGTGCGAAGAAATTATAGCTGATATTCCAATAAATATTTTAATTTTTATTTTTTGTTGTTTTCCACTTGTTTTTTCTGTTTTTTTCGCTACTTTACACTTAGTTGACAATTCATTGAGTAAAATTTCACTTTTGTTGTGTTGTTTTTTATGTACAAAAACGCAGTGAACAACTGTTGGACGGCACAGTAATAACGACAACAATAACAACAACAGCGCAATGCCACAAATAGCAAAGCCTGTCTGCCGTTCGTAGTAAATAAATTTGCAGCGTGTTGCAGCGCAGGAATTGGACGGGAGGGAAGCTGCGGCTGTGGCTGTGGCTCTTGTAGGGGAGCTCGCCTGTTTGCCTGTTTGTCTCTTCGCTGGTCTGTTGATTTTTACAATTTTTTTTTTCTTTTTAGAGTCTGATTATCACTTCGGCGTGTGTATGTCCGTTTACCTTAACGTTTGCATGCGTGTTGTACAAGTTCACGTTTGCGCTTTTATTTGGTTTTTAGCATCTGTTAGACGTACTTCCTTTGCGGTTTTCTATTTTTTACGCGTGAAATATTTTTTTCCAATAAATTTTATGCACCGAGCTCGAATTTTTCCAAAGCGATTCTCTTATTAACAACAAGCGGTTTATGCTAAAGCAGCCGTATCAAGCGACGTTCGTTCGATAACTGATTTCGCGGTGTTTCCTCACGCGGCCAACAACTTGTCGCGCAAAATTTCAACTTACAAGCGAAGAAGCTACAGCCAGCGCCAGAGCGTCATCGGTTGAGCAACAGCAGCAGCGTTGGTCCGAGTAACGCCGGTCATGGTGAGCAGCGGGCAGATGAACCAGCAGCAGCAGTAGCAACAGCAATAGCGCAGTCACTGCGACGAAAACTGAGAATGACAACAAATGCAGCGCGTTTTTGTGATTTAAGGAAAAAAGATGTTTTGCCGCTTAAAACGCGTAAAAATCATATAGAAAACAATACACACGTACCGAAAGCGAAAGCAACAACAGCAAAAAGAAAAACTTTAAGCTTCGTTACTATCTGCCTCGGCCGCGGGCGCTACGTTGTGCGCGCCAATCGATAGTAGGCTGCAGCTGTAACAAGCGCCGACAGATGCCGAAACGGAGGAGAAAAAATCGTTCGCTTCGGTACGCGCAACCTCGGCAAGGCACACACACAGCAAGCGGCGCAGTTCGTGGTGTTCAGCAACAAAAGTCAACTGTCAAAGTCACACGCTAACAACATCGCGTCGGCTTTGCGCCACTATGCGAGCTAGCGTCGTTTCGTGTTGTCGCTGTGCCAATGATAGTGACAGTGATTTCGACTGTAACTGAGGCTTTAGCGCAATTTTGTGAATACGTGTGTGTTTGTGTTGTGCTTTCGTTTGCTATTGCTTGTTTGTGTTGTTGCACCTGCTTTTTGGCGATCGATTTGATTTCGGTTTGACTATTTACTCCTCTTCTCTGCTCGTTGTTATCGCTTGTCGCTGTTTTTTTTTTGTTTGTGTTTCTTTTTTCTTGGAGCTTCGTGCGTGTCCCTATTTGTGTTTTATGACTTTTAACTTGTGCGCACTCTCTTTGCGCTTTTAAGACGATTATAAAAGTGCAGTAAATATTTAAGATTGTACGTTGTGTAATTCAGTTCTTTTGTTGAGGAGAAGAGACCTTTCCTTAGAAACTTTTTTTTAGTATGCTAAAACAGAGATAAGAGAGACTATTGGGTAGTCAAATGGCTAATGATCGATTAATTCTTCTTCTTGGTGAAGTATTGCTAGGGCTCCGGCGCTCCAGAACTCTGTAAGTAATACTAGTTTGCCAGCCACCCGGCTAGGATCTTCTCTACCTGTTGCTTTCATCGCAGTGGAGGTCTTCTATCATAAATATGTATATATATAATTATATACAATCGGCGCTTTGTAACCGCTGAAGCGATTTTCGGCCGAGCTCCTTCTCCAATTTGTGATTTTGCATCTTGATGTTTTCTCAACAAATGGAAGGACTTACAGTAAAATACTAAGCCGCCTCCGAACAGCTGATGGTTTTTATGAGGAGACATTTTTTTTATGTCGTAAATATACTCGGAGTTGTTGATATTCCCTGCCGAGTGGCGGCCGCAATTAGAAAATTTAACAAAATTTTTTATTTAAACTAAGTTTCTATAATTTTTGGATGCTTCTCATAGCAGTATTTGAACCCTGGTTTTCCGAGTCGCAGTAAGCAATGTTAACCGTGCTCCGAAACGGACTCATCCGATGTTGTTATCGCCCACGCTTAGTACTATAAATTAAGCATGACTAGTTGTTGTTGTTTGTAGCCGTAATATTATTCCCCGAAGTACTTTTTGGGGAATGTTGCGGGAGTGACAGTACTTGGCCGGATAAAAATCCGGGTATTTCCGGTATAAAGACCCGACTGTCCCAGGAACTATTGGATTTTAGTCGCCTCTTACGACAGGCATGCCTTACCGCGGGTAAATTCTTGAGCCCCTAACCCACAGGGGGGCTCTAGTAACTTGTAGAGTTGTGGAGAAGTTCATTTTAAGCCTTTCTTCAAGTTCTTCATGATCACCCATTTTAGTCTCTCTCATTTTATGTGTGCGAATTCGTCTTGCTCCCGCCTGCAGTACTCGGTACCCATGGTCGAGTTCATCGTTTGAGATGTACGAAATCTATTTTCTCTCAAATTTAAAACTATTGTTTCTCGAGCCTAAAACGCTGTCCCATAATTTCCTTTATTGATGGGTGCTGACTGCACAGCAGGGGTACGTACTGAAGACATGACATTCGTCTATCACAACATGATCGATCTGGGTAAAGTTTTTCGGTCTCGATATAGCCACGTAGCTTGATGAATCTCCTTGTACTGGAACGTAGTACTACAGACAACTATTTTTCAAATCCCGGCGAATTTATGGAGGCTGAATTTTGTTATACCGAACATGCCTTTTTTGACATCGTGGCGCTCATAAAAGGAATCTTTGGCTCCTCTACTGGCGGAGTATGGGTACAAAACAGCGATGTGGTCAAGAACTTTTCACTGAATGTGGTGGGATTATTATCTACCGTTGGGAAAGCCAGTACTCCACGACCGAGGCACTCTCAAATGAAGAATCCGACACCAGTTGGATAGTGACACGTTCCCAACTAAAGAATCAAACATACTTTTGCAGTGATCGTCATCAAACGTGAGGACTCTTTTTCACTGGAGCTGATTTCTGTATGGTTTAGAATTACTACACACTTATATTGACAGCCATTTGCTTCAAGAACGACGCCTGCTGACAGCTGCAATTAAATTTCAGCGAACCCTTAGACCGAATATGTCGCAGTTGATAAACTGAAGCTTCCTTTTTTTAATCAGGACACAAGCGTTCACAAATGCTGGCTACCTCATCTTGCAAAGGTGTTTCTCACGTTTCCAGAGTATTGAGTATAACCATGCGATCATTTTGTTGTAAAATTCGCTCTACGGTGTGGAAGACCGATTGTCAAAAATGCCGATTAAATAATAGAAATCGTAGATAAAAGACAGTTGAGTGCCACTTAAAAAAGGCTGCTCCATGTATGGATGCCACATGAGTTCGTAAGAAAAACCTCATGTACCGAATTTCCATCTGCGAAACGGTGCTGAATCCTCAAAAAACCGATCCACACCTAAAGCGGATGGTAACTGGTAATGAAGACTGGATCTCTTACAGCAACGCCAAACGAAAAAGGTCCTGCTCGCAGAACACTGAGCAGGCATAAACGCTCTCCGAGACATAATTGATACGCAGGAAGGTTTTGCTGGCAAGAATCATCTACTATAAGCTGCTGCCCTACGTCAAACTCTATATTCGGTCCTATACTGTTAGTAATTGGACAGTCGGAAGGAAGTAATCGCTCAGAAGGGCACTGGCGGCAATTTTTGTTCCATCTGAACAATGCCTGTCACATCCATAGTGACTTGCCAGCAGCTTTGAGAGCAACGACCTCGCTCCGAGTGGTTACCAACTGTTCCTGCCAATGGCGAATGATTTGGCTTGGTGGAGGACTGGCCTCAAGAGAAGCCTGTGAAAATTGATTGTACCAATATTTTGCTAATAGGGACAAGGGTTCCTAAATGAGAGGGCATAATAACATTCTCTGCAAAATAGCAAAAAGTTAACAAGCATAACGGTGCATATTTGACATAAATCAGATAATTCTAACTGTTGTACAAAAAGCCTTAAATTTAGAGCAAAAATAGTGGATTACTTTTTACTAGACCAATATTTGTTGTTAATAAAAATACATTTCGTTTCAAAAAATATGAAACAAAAACACGGATTCAATTTTATCATAAAATGAATAGACAAAAACAACAACAACACCATATCGCTCGTAATTCGTTTGCCATTACCACATATATGCGTGTACATATGTACATAAGTATGAGCACTCCCTAAAAATGTCATATTCTTTATATCTTCAAAAAAAAAAAAAAAAAAAAAAAAAAAAAGTTTCATATGCTTTTAAAAATCTCGCATTTTAAACATATTTATTTATGTATTTATTTGTGTAGCGCTATATTTGTACATATTGTCACCTGTCACTTGTCAAACGAACATTATAACATCGCCTTTCGGCATACATGAAAATAAAATCAGCTAATGAAAAAATCATTACCCTGCCACTCCACTCAACTCCAGCTCGGCTCGACTCGCCTCAGCTCGCCTTAGCTCAGCTCCAGCGTGATGCGGACGTCGCTGATGCGCGTGATGGGGACGCTCAGGCTGATATTCGCTAACTTTTGCCGGTAAAGCTTGATTATTGCTTATGTTATACCGTTATTATTGCTGTTGCCATTGCTGCTGCTGCTCGTTGGTTGTTGTTTTTTTCCTTTTATTGTTGCTGTTGTGATGCCAGTCAAAATGTAACTAAGCTACTGGCTACATACTTCCACTTGTTCAGTATGTTTGTCTGGCTGTATATGTTTGTATCTATGTCTGTATGTCTTGCGATTGCGCTTACACGTTGTACGAATAATCTTGTTGTTGCAAAGATGTGTTTTTTTTTTTATTAACTTTCGTTTTCTTTTGTTTTCGCCTCAACGTGATTTGTTGTGCTTTGCTTCGGTTTGGTTTGGTTTGGTTTGGTTTGGCTCGCTTTGATTTCGGCTGAGAAGTCATGGGAATTATTGTTAAACCTGTACAGAGGTCAATCAATGCTTTTGCACGTTTCATAGCCGCTTGCCAATAGCCAAATTTAGTACATATGTACATATGTTATTGGTATATATGTAGGTATTTACGAGGGTTACCTTTAATATTTCGGGATTTGGCGAACCAAGTGTTGCAATCTGGAGCTTGACAAATTTACCATAAGATTTGACATTTTTGATGTTATAGTCATACGTTCTCAGCACTTATTGTCATACGAGCGCTATTTGCGGTGTTCACAGCAAATTAAAATCTTAATTTCGGCCAAAAAATGGTATTAAATCACGAACATTCTTGCGCGGCTATTTTTCACTGCAACTTTTGACTTGTATTGACTCAGCAGCAGTGCATCGATGATGGTAATTATGTTTTTGGCTTTGGAGCGCCATCAAATACGAGTGCTTATCGTTGATATGGTGAGTTCAATCGGGGTCGTAACTCACTCCAGGACGTGTTTCTTGAAGGACCGCTGACCGGTGATTGTACTGGAAAATATGGACACAGTGTACAAACTGATAGTC